TCCCCTCTGTTTTCGTATTGGTGGTGGCAGAGGGTTGATTGCCATGGAGGAGCCTGTATCTTTCTGGTTGACATTTCCTTTGTTCTCCTTTCTATTTTAATTTGTGCTCCATTTTGCCTCTCGTTTTTAGGAAAACATGAGAGTAGAGGTGTTTGCTCTTTCATGCAGTTTATTTGCCATGGCTCTGTAGTGCCTGGACAAAATGCTATGTGTGTGCAGCATGGCTCAAGACTCATATTCTTTTGTATATGACGTGAGAGAGTGTCACTGTGAAATAAAGCTCAAGGGTTGGAATTACTGCTGTTATACACCATAATCTGGAGTAAAAATACTTTCTATAAAATGAGAATGCTTATAGATGCCAATTTACTTAACTTGCTAAACTATCATTTTCCCTGTAAGATTCATTAATAAACTCAGTGGAATTGAAATTCTTTGGAAGAGTAATACATACTCAAATCATGAAGGCATAGACTCTTGGAGAAGTAGGACATAAAAGATTATTCTAGCCCAGATACATACTTGATTGTTGTCTTTAGCTTCCTTTCCACAGAGCTGCTCAGCCTTTGTTTGAAATAACTATTAATGATAGTGAAAGTCTTCTCTACCTACCATGGCCATCATTTCATCTACATCTTCTAAAACAAAGTACTTCTTCACCTGAAGTCTCTGTAGCTCTGTTGCCATCCCCTTCTTTTCCTTCCCCTCCCTTCCCCACCTCCCCCCACCTCGCCTGTCTTCCCTCCCCTCCCCCCTTTCTCAAAACCAACCAGCCAACCAATGAAAAAATCAACCAACCAACCAACGAAAGGAGTACCTGATCAAATAGTTTTGGGAAACACTACATACAGGGCTCATACCCAAGGAGTTGAAACGCTTCTATGTGTATCTGCTGGGGAATATTTCAGTATGTCTAAGCCCCAGTATTTCACAAACTTATTTGATTGTGAACCTTTGCTTTTACCCAGAACATCTGTTCACAACTTAGAACAGTAGCTGGTGCTCAATAAATGGTTGTTTAAGAAAGTTAATGAATGTAAAATAAATCTCTCAAAATGATAAAGGGTATCCTGTGTCAAAGTGACAAGTGTTCTCCATCTCTGCAAGTGACATAACAAAAATTGAATGGGTATACCTTCCTCCTCTGTAAACCATCCTAAATATTTATTTCCACATCTTTTAGGATTTTAAAAATTCTTTTTATTTGAAATTGGAGTTTGTATCCTCATTTGCACAAGCTACCTTTTATGTTCTCAAAGAAATATTAGTGATGACTTCACAACAAAAGCTTGTCTCTTTGCTTCCTGATCAAATGTATGGAATGAAGGAATTGGCGAGCACTGCTCTTGTCTTTTGTTTCCAGTTTGTGCCTGATTGTGTTTGATTCTACGAGCACATGATGTTTCGGCAAGCTTCTTAAGTGAATGCTTATAGATGCCAATTTACTTAACCAAGTTGCTGCTGCAACTGGGTGTTTCTAAGGCTGTTTGTCAGATTACCTATTGAGTTAGTGCCTACCTTTTTTTTGGCTTCCCAACCAGCTCTTTTGGGGCTTAGCAACTAGTCATAAGTAAATAGAGTGCAAACTTTTCCTTTGTGAGTATTTGAGCTTTCCACCTGGGGCAGCCTGACAAGCCTCCTATCAAGTGTGAATCTGGCCAACAAGGAACATGCTGTCATGTGGACTTGATCCAGCATTGCTGATCTAGGCTTTTTATTTCTCATGCTCTGGAGTGAGAGTTTAAAGGGTCAGCAAGAGGAACATTATAAATCATATGTATTCTCACTTCTGTATTTTAGTCAGAAATCTTTGCAGAAATTCAAGAGAGTCGGATACAGAGCTGGGTGGAACTCAGTGTCCACTTTCTCCAAAGTCAGTACTCTGTCTCTTTTTTGTGGTTGCTCAGTGGTAACCCTGTATCTTCTGTTTCCTCTCCCATGCTATCACCTCTCTTCAGTTTGTCTCCATCCCAAAATGTTATCCTTTCTTAAAGTAATGTCATCTCCTCTCTTAATCATTATTTCATCCTTTTTCATTGATATGGAAATGTTATTCTGTTGGCACATTGCAGGAGACATTTTACAGTAGAAACATCAGTATATTTCTCTTATACCTATGGATTTTACCTGCTGTTGTATCTTACAGAATGTAACAGGCCTTAAAGGCATTTGCTGTATCACCCTCACTGCTGAAATAGGGGTAATGAGGTGCAGTGTAGGGAGTGACTTGCCCAGGATCACAGAGCAGCACCCTGACTGAGCCAGCAGTAGGCCCAGGTCCTCGTACTCCCAGTCCTTGGCCTTTTATGTGTGATACCTCTCTTATTACATAAGTGGGATAAGAAAATGTAGAGTAAGTAGACATAGTTTCTGTATCTATGCAAGAGCCTTAATGGTATGGGAGGAATCAAGTTACAGTTATTACTGATAGTACATTCAGATCTGCCATCTGACATAAAAGTCATCAATTTATGTTTGACTGGTCCAAGCAGGGGTGGAGTTTGAGTTTTATTATGTAGGAATATATTTTTAAAGTATTTTTAAAAGATTTTATTTATTTATTTTTAGAGAGGGGGATGGGAGGGAGAAAGAGAGGGACAGAAACGTTGATGTTTGAGAGATACATCCATTGGTTGCCTCTCCTACGCCCCCAACCAGAGACCTGGCCTGCAACCCTGGTATGTACCCTGACTGGGATTCAAATCAGCAACCTTTCAGTTCACAGGCCAGCACTCAGTCCACTGAGCAACACTAGCCAGGGCTATGTAGGAATAATTTAATGTCTGATGCTCCTAGTTAAATGGCAGGACACATTAGGAGTATTGCCACTTTTATGGGCTTTGAAAGGCAGAAAGAGTTCTAGTCCTCTTTGCATGATCCCCATTCTCACCCTTCTTCCATGTCTCCATGGCTAAAAACATCAATGTGTGATACACTTGCGGCTGTCAGAAACACATTCTTTTATCTGAGGAAACATGGAGCACTGGAAAAGTAACTGCACTAGGCAGACTGGTTGTGGAGACACAAAAATGTAAAAGTGCATAGGACATACCAGGAGCCTCATTTAAAATAAAAAAAGACATTTTTAGGAATTAATTTATATTTTCTGACAAATTTAAGATTTTTGACGGCATGGATCTTATGAAAATAAATCTGTAAATTAATTTCTTTATGTTTTAAGTCGGGGGAGGATGAGGGGTGGCTCATTCTGTAATAGATGCCCTATTCCAGTATCTAGTGTGAAGCCATTGAGAACTTGTTTTTGTCATCCCCTGGAGCAGGGTTGGTCCAGATAAACCACCTCCATGTGGTATTGGGTTGGCCAAAAAGTTCATTTATTTTTTTTTCCCTACAATGGCTCTACTAGTACTCAGTTGTCTTTAACTTCACTGGAAACAATGTTGTTAGATTGTACTGTGACAGCTGTCATATCAGCGTGCATTAACAAAAACTTATTAAAATTGGTGAATTTTTGTGAAGGCATGTTTTAATATTGAAGATGGAAGAAGATACACAGCACTTCTAGTGTATTATGCGTTATTATTTCAAGAAAGGTAAAAACAAAACTGAAATGCAAAAAAAGATTTCTGCAGTGTAAGCAGAAGGTCCCGTGACTGACCAAATGTGTCAAAAGTGGTTTGGGAAGTTTCTTGGTACTATTGACATTTTGGCCAAATAATTCTTTGCTGTGGGGCTGTCTTATGCATTGTAAGATGTTTAGCAGCACCCCTTGGCTCTAGCCAGTAAAAGCCAATAGTGAAAGATAGCCGACATACTCTAAATATCCACATCAATACAGTCAATGGCTAAAGCGAAGAATGTGTCTTTTATTTTAGGGGAAAAATTAAACAGACTTTTTGGCCCACCCAGTATGATTTGAGGAGCCCTAAGAAGGGTAATGTGTCATCAGTCAGACACCACCAGAAACTAGGTCTTTGTAGGCTTTTTGTGTCAGAGAGCAAGTGGAAATATGGCTTCTACAAGAGATGTGGAACCACAGGCATTAAAACCAACAGTCCAAAATAGCCTCGTTTGATGACCTGCTCTCTTTTAAAAAGCTATCCTTGCTCAGGGGCCAGAGGGAGGTAGTGGACTTTGATTTTTGGCCCCTGTAGAGTTCACTAAAATTGAACATTAGAAATCAGTACTTAAGATCAGGGACAACTGAAACATATTGAACAATGAGTGCATGGATGTTGTTCCACCTGTAATGATCAAAGGTGAGTTAATATGCTACTGTTTATAAAACACCCACTATTATGCCAGGTATTTTGCATTTAGTTGGCACAGTACCCTGTGAGGTAGATACTATTATGCATAGTTTACAAGTAAGGAATTGGAGGTTCAGACAGGCTAAGTAACTTATACTTTTGCACAGCCAGTAAGTAAATGCAAGAAACTAAGATTTGTATTCAGGTCTGCCTGACTCAAAAAGCCACATGCTTAACCACTATACTGGGCGTAGTCTCCGCCTCTTTTCCTGACTTACAGGATGGAATAATAATACCTTCCTTGGGGTTATTTTAAGGATACAATAAGATAAGAGATCTGAGACGCCCGCTGTGGTCTCTAATAGAGCTTTGCGGAATGAAAGGCATTATCAGAAGTAGAAGACAATCTGCTAGTGTCTCCATATGACTATTTACCCTTTAAATATATATCCAGATGTCCTGGAGTTTGGACCTTTAACCCCTGGCTTTCCGGTGAGCAAGAGTAGTTTATGTCCTGGGCATAGATTCTGAGAACTAGGACACTGGTCCTACTTACTCAGTGATATTTTCAGCAGTGAAATTTCCTTGCCAAGCAGCTGAGGAGTAAAGAAGAGACCCCCAGTGTGTCTGTGCACACAGATCTGTGGGACCCCTGGAGTTCTTTTCAGGACAATGTGCAATCACATGTATGGTTCTAGCTGTACTTTGACATGTATGTTGTTTCTCTCTCTTTCTCATTTGTCAGACTCCGAGCTGCAACTCCGTGTAAAGGACATCAGTCATTTCTTAATGCAAGACATCGCCTTTTTGTCTGGTAAGCAGACTTTGACATATATTTAGACTGGATAAATGTATGCATTGATTAGCAAAGTTAGTTTGGTCCTTATTAGTATATGTGTATATTTTTGAGAAACGTTATTTTAGTAAACATTTATACATTTTGCACATAGTTGCTAAAAAAATGGACATTTAGAGAATAATTGGAGGTTTTCAATGTGTTTAGATATGTGATTAAAACCAGTCTTACCATGCTTGTAAATTTGATTTTCAGACAAGCCTTTAGGAATCCCTGAGAGGGGAAGTAGAATACATCTCTTAGGTGCTGACTGGGTGAGAGGGTGGCAACTGAGGTGACTTCTTTGAGATTTTTTCCTCCACCATACTTTGATATTTAAGTGTTTATTAAAAATTCTGTCAAGTCATTTACCTAACCAAGCAGCTGTACTAAGTTGTTTTTCTTTATGATTTCATTTATACTATAAAAGAAGTTTACTTTTCTGAAATATATATCTGTATTTGTATATGTATATGCATTTGTATATTTTTTGTTTATTCCATTGTAATTGTCCCAATTTTTTTTTTCCATTTTGTGCCCCTCCCCCCAGCTCACCCCACTCTCCCACAGTCAATCCCCTCTCCGTTGTCCATGTCTGTGGGTAATTCACACATGTTCTTTGACTAGTCCTTTCCCCTTTCTTCCTCCATTCCCCCATCCCTCCTCTCTTCCTACAGCTGTCAGACTTCCATGTTCCCATGTCTCTGGTTCTATTTTTCTTCTTTGTTTATTTTGTTCATTAGATTCCTCTTATAGGTGAGGTCATATGGTAGTTGTCTTTTGCTGCCTGGCTTATTTCACTTAGCAGAATGCTCTCCAGTTCCATCCATCTTGTTGCAAAAGGTAGGAGTTCCGTCTTTCCTTCTGTTGCATAGTATTCCATTGTGTAAATGTACCATAGTTTTTTAGTATGCTCATCTACTGATGGGCACTTCAGCTGTTTCCAGTACTTGGCTATTGTAAATAGTACTGCTATATAATTTTAAAAAATTGCAGTAACAGAGACTTCCAAATAACAAACTAAGCAAACAAGCAGAATAGGAACAGAATAATATATATGGAGATCATTTGGAGGGTTATTAGTAGGGAGAGGGAAGGTAGAAATGGGGGGAAATATGCAAGGATTAGGAAGCATAAATTGGTAGTACAAAATAGACAGGGGGATGTTAAGAACAGTATAGGTAATGGGAAAGCCAAAGAACTTATATGCACGATCCATAGACATGAACTAAGGAGGGCGATTGTTGGAAGGAAGGGGGTACCAGGTAGAGGAGGGCAAAGTAGGGAAAATGGGACAGGTGTAATAACATAGTCAATAAAAAATATTTTCAAAAAATTGTCATAAAATACACATGACAAAGAATTTATCATCTTCACTGTTTTTTACTGTTGATGCTATTACAGATTTCCCCTATTTCCCCCCTTTGCCTCCCTCCACCCAGCCCCCAACCCCCCTCCCATAACCCCAGTCTTCACCAATTTGTTGTCTGTGTCCATAGGCTATGCATATATAGGTTTGTCCAGAAAAAGTCCAACCATTGTTAATATAATGAGAGCAGTTTGCATGACATCGGTGTAACCTGGCAGCCAAGGAGAGTGGACTGGAATGCACATGTGTGAACAATGATGACATCACTGTACTAGTCAGTGAGGATGGTAGGCACTGTTGCATGAGCATGTGTACTCTGTGGCTGTTGCATTCAAAATGACTGAGCAAGTATAGCAATGAACCTGCATCAGATTTTGCATGAAGTTTGCACATTCCTCCATGGAAACTATTTGAATGACTAAGAAGGCCACAGCTTTGGGCAACTGGTGATTGGCAGCTTCATGACTGCAACATGGCCACTCATGCATCATGTCTCATGCAGGGTTTTTTTTTTTTTTTTTTTTTTTTTTGGTGAAACATCAAATCACCCAGGTGACTTGGCGCCCCTACAGCCCAGATTTGGTGCCCTGTGACTTCTGGCTTTTTCCAAAAACTAAAGTCACCTTTGAAAGGGAAGAGATTTCAGACCATCAATGAGGTTCAGGAAAATATGACAGGGCAGCTGATGGCCACCGGGAGAACTGTGTGAGGTCCCAAGGTGCTAACTTTGAAGGGGACTGAGGTATCATTGTCTCATGTACAGTGTTTCTTGTATCTTATATCTTCTTCAGTAAATGTCTCTATTTTTCATAGGATGTGGCTGGATACTTTCTGGCTAGACCACCTATGTATATATGTTATTTGGCTAATCTCTTCCAGTCCCCCCACCCCCTCCCTCACTTTAAGTGTACACTTCAGTGGCATTAATTACATTCTCATTGTTGTGCAACCATTATCACCATCAGTCTTTAGAACTCTTCATCTTACAAAATTAAAACTCTTTATTCTTTAAAAAATAACTTCCCATTCTCTCCTTTCCCAGCCCAAGGCAACCTTTATTCTACTCTACTGTCTATGAATTTGATTACCCTAGGTATCTCATATCAGTGGAGTCATACAGTATTTGTCTTTCTGTGATTGGCTTATTTGACTGAGCATATGTCCTCCAGGTCCATCCATATTGTCTCATGTATCAGGACTTTCTTGCTTTTTAAGGCTGAATACTATTCCATGTTATGTATATACTACATTTTGTCCATTCTTCTGTTGATAGATTCTTGGGTTACATCTGCCTTTGGCTACTGTGAATAATGCTGCTCAAAAAAAGAATTACATATTTTTAGAGATAAAACTATGGTAAACCATCCATTTCATTTTTACTTAGTCAGATATCTAGGGAACTTTTGCTTAAAGACAAGCTAATTGCTTTCAGGTATTAGAGTAATTTGAACTATACTATGAAACATTATATATTATATTAAACAGATAAAAATTTACAAGTATGTGCATTGTTTGCATGGAAATGAATGCTTCTTTAAGTGTTCAGTTGTTTAATTATTCCTCCTGAAATGATACCTACGTGCTCAGTTTACTAAACAAGCATTTGCTTTATAGATGATCCTAATTGGGCACTTCAATCTAGCTTCTGCTTTAATGATTATAATTAGTGGTAATTGTGAATTAGTGGTGACTTAATGTGGTTTTATGTTTTATTTTGTAAGCGGTATAAATGTGTGACACACTGTCACAGTGGAGTTTGGGATATTTTACTGAAGCTCATCAGTGTTTTTCAAACTGTGCTGCAAATATAATGACCCTCAGGGCTTATTCTCCCACACAGACCCCTCTCCACAATTCCTTCCTTACTTGCTTTTTGTAGTTGTTTCAGAATGTTTCTGCATATGTTTTATTTTAAAGAAAGGTTTCCCGATGGGGTAAATAATTACAATCTCCAATTCACAGTTTAAACATCTCTTTTGTTCTCTTCTTACAAATTCACTACCTAGTACAGCACTTGTAGGTATACAGTTTATAGATTAGTCAATGACAACTTACCCTTATAATAACCTTGCTTCCTTTTCTTTGGTAGGTATAGTTTGCTAAGTGCTAGTTGGTTCTGTCTTTAACTAGAGTGCTTACCAGCTTACTTGGCAGGTCTATGTTATATTGTGTGTGTGTGTGTGTGTGTGTGTAAAAAATTTATACTACTAGTTCTATACTGTATCTTATCTAGAGAGACTCTTTGTTTAATCATGCACTAAATCTCTTGGTTCAGAGTTGTACAGTTTCACCTCTGAGTTCCTTTAAGATTCTTGTTTGGATGCCATAATTCTCCATGATTATATCTTCCTTAGAGATCCTGCTCTTTAAGTCTATTATACACTGAAGATTTATCATTATTTGATTTAATACTTTGGGGTAGTTTGAATCAAAAGATAATTTGGGAATGGGGACACTCCCTCAAGTTTCCCTTGGTTAGATGAATTTGGTATTTTTTTCAAGTGCACTGGAGAAGACTGTGTATCCTGCTTTTGTTGGAGGGATTGTTCTGTAAACATCAGTTAGGTCATATTGGTTGAGATTTGTAGTTCAAGTGTATTGGGTCCTTGTAAATTTCCTGTCTACTTGTATCAATTATTAATAGAGAGGTGATGAAATTTCTGAATAAAATTGTAGTTTCGTCTGTTTCTCCTTGGAGCTCTATTAGTTTTTGTTTCATGTATTTTGAAGCACTGTAATCAGGAACATAAGCATTTGAGATTATGTCCTCTTGATGGATTTATTGCTGCTTGATTATCAAACGATCTTCTTAATACCTAATAATATTCTTGACCCTAAAATCTATTTCATTGAAAATTAGACAGCTTCCTTTGAGTAATATTAGCATGGCATATCTTTTTCTATCCATTTGCTTTTTTGTGTGTGTGTTTTATTTTTTTTAATTTAATTTTAATTTATTTTTTCAAATACATTTGTCTCTGCCTACCCCCCACCACTTTCCCTTGCCCCCTCCCTCCTTCCCTCCCTCAGCTCTTCCCCTTTGGTTTTGTCCATGAGTCCTTGCTATATGTCCCTTGACTTTCCCCTTCCCTTCCTTGTCCCCACCCCCCCTTCCCTCTTGTCTCTGTTGATTTCTTTTCCTTTCAGTGTTGCTGGTCTTATTTTCCTTGCATCTTTGTATTGCAGCAGAAAGAAAAAAAGAACTACTAAACTTCGCGACAGCATGGATGGAACTGGAGAGCATTATGCTAAACGAAATAAGCCAGGGGGCGAAAGACAAATACCATATGATGTCACCTATAAGTGGAATCTATCCATTTGCTTTTAATGTGCTTGTGCCTTAATATTTAAAGTGTATTTCTTGTAGGCGGTACTACCTATAGCTGGGTCTTACTTTTTTTATCCAATTTGATAATCACTAAATTTTTATTGGATTGTCAAGATCATGTACATTTAATGTGATTATTCATATGGCTGGGTTTAAATCTATCATCTTACTGTTTGTTTTCTATTTGTCCCATTCGTTTTTTTTTTTTTTTTTGGTGGGGGGTTTCCCTCCATTTCTGCTTTCTTTTGGATGGAGTATTTATCATTCTACTCTATCTCCTTTGCCACTGTCATATTTTTATTGTACATTGAATTTTTTATCTTTATATCTCTATTCACTGAAATTTAGCTAAGTAAGAATTCCAATTAAACCTCTTTAGAAATTTCTATTAGTGAGCTAAATTCTAAGACCACCGTACAACTTTCCTCCTAAAATAATTTTTTAATTTCAGTTTGGCACTAAATATTTATTGAGCAACTATTCTGGACCCATGTGTTAGGCTGGATGTAGAGTGGAAATTTAAACATGTGTAAGTAAGGCTCATACCTGCACTTGGGTGGCTTTCGTTCTAAATGTTCCTCATGCTCCAGGCTGCAGAGGGGGTTATGGAGTGGGATGCACATTGAATTTTAACCCACAGATAATTTATGGTCAGTCTTTCTTTGCACTGGTAGGATTTCTATACCATTGTTGCTATTACTGCTTATGTTGTGTCTTCCACAAATCCATTAGAACATCACTTTTTTCCCTATAGTAGTATCCTGTATTCTTTCATGCTTACCATGACTGAAAGTGGTTGCCTATATCAAGGTTTCCACTTTGCTGTCAAACTGACAATTACTGGTTTTCAATTTAGGCTCATTGCATTGGTGTAGAAACAATTATTATTTCTGTTGTCCAATTTGAGATATCAACTATATTTTTGACTACACATGCCATGAAATTTTATTCTAACTATATGCACTCATTTTGCACTCTCTGTCTTGCACTCTCTCTGTCTATTTAGAAACCACTCTGTCACTTTTTAAAGTTAGGAACATGGTGTCATTTTGGTTTATGTGGAGATATTATCCTTGTTAAAATTACATTGGCCAAAAACTGTCTCCTAAGTGCTCTTCTCAAGTGTAAACATTCTCTTTTTATGCATTGTTGTGACACAGATTATTAATTTGCTTGATTTTTTAAATACCATTTTAGGTGGTCGGGGAAAGGACAACACTTGGATCATTACGTTTCCAGAAAATTGTAATTTCAAATGTATATCAGAAGAAGTGATAACAAAAGTATTGACTTATTTGACATCTATTGCAAGGTATAGCATTTGCTAACATTTTTTTCAGTTTGTTTTATGTCGGATACTCATATGAACGTAATAACAGGAAAATGGCTTTTTAGTGTGACTATTATTATTATTATTATTGTAAATGATCATAAGACTTATCTTCAGAGTAGATGAGAAATAGAAGGGGAAGCTGTCAGCTACCTAAATAGCTATAAAATGTATACCGAGGATCTATAAATACAAAATTGGGGGTCTACAAGTTTATCCCCATGAAGAACATAAATTGAAAATGATGGTCATACATAAAGCCTTTAATTTGTGTCAAAGGAAATCTTACTAGCTAAGAGTGAAGGTAGCTATTCTTCACTTCTTCCAAGGATAAAATAAGAAGAGTGAATGTTAAATAGACTCAAAAGTGGTAGGAATATGTTAGGAGGAACTTCTTGATATTGGAGAACACTTGAGACTTGGACTCTTTAAGAGGGAATATTTCAAATGCTTCCTCAAAGATTTTATTTAGGTCAAAGACAGTCTTTAAAGTAAATATTTTCTAGTTACTAATCCTGAAGACTAAGAGGACACAAATCTAGAATGATAAAATTGTGAAGAGCTTCATGAACAAAAGTTAAATCCCAGAAAACTACATTTACAGGGCCCCCCTTGAAGCTCAAAAGTGGTCTTTTTAGGGCAAACAGAAGTTCTAGCTTTCAGCTTTGGCTCAGAGGAAGCTTAGGTTCGGCTTTCTTTGGTTGTCTTGAAACCGGGTTCACCTGACACGAGCTGCCTCCACCATGCTACCAAAGTTCGACCCCGGGTAGATCGAAGTTGTATACCTGAGGTGCACTGGTGTCATTGGGGAAGTTGGTGCTACATCTACCCTTGCCCTGAGGGCTGGTCCCCTGGGCTTGTCTCCAGAAAAAGTTGGTGAGGACATCTCCAAAGCAACCGGTGATTGGAAGGGTCTGAGGATCACAGTGAACCAGACCATTCAGAGCAGACAGGCCCCGATTGAGGTAGTGCCTCCTGCCTTGCCCTGATCATCAAAGCTCTCAATGAACCATCATGAGACAGAAGCAAAAAACAAAACACAAAAAAATCAAACCCCAAAACAACAACAAAAACAACAACAACAACAAAACTTAAGCACAGTGGAAATTTCACTTTTGATGAGGTTGTCAACATTGCCCAACAGATGCAGTACTGATCTTTAGCTAGAGAACTCCCGGGAACCATTAAAGAGGTCCGGGGACTCCCCAGTCTGTGGGCTTCAGTGTTGATGGCTCCCACCCTCATGACTTCATAGATGACATCAGCACTGGGACAGTGGAATGCCCGGCCAGTTAAGAACCACGAAGGAGCCCTGGCTGGTGTGGTTCAGTGGATTGAGTGCCAGCCTGAGAACCAAAAGGTCACCAGTTTGATTCCCAGTCAGGGCACATGCCTGAGTGGCAGACCAGGTCCCCAATAGGGAGCACGTGAGAGGCAACCGATTGGCATCTCTCTCACACATTGATGTTTCTCTCCCTCTCCCTCCCTTTCCTTCTCTCTATGAAGTAAATAAATAAAATATTTTAAAAAAAGAACCACAAAGGAAAATATTTCAATTAAAGATCATTTGACAACCAAAAAAAAAAAAAAAAAGTTCTGTTATCCATGAAACTGCCTTCCCTAGAAAGGTATACTGGAGATTAAAACATATTTAATAATATTTTTATGAATGAGTGAATGAATGGTCATTGACTTGTGATGGATTGCCATGGCAAGTTAAATGTGATGTCATCAAAGACAGCTGTCTATAAGATTCACTCATACCAAAGTCTGCAGTATTCCAAATCCGTTTTAGTGACCTATCTCTGTTACACGAATCACTTGCCCATTTAAAAGATTGACATTAATGCTGAAAAGAAAATTTAAAAACTTTTTTATTGATTTTAGAACAAGAGAAAGAGAGAGGAAGGGAATGGGAGAGACATTGATTTGTTGTTCCATTTATGTATTCCTTTGTTGATTCTTGTATGTGCCCTGACTGGGGATTCAACCCACAATCTAGGTGTATTAGGCCGATGCTCTAACCAACTGAGTTACTTGACCAGGGCTCCTGAAAAAAATTTTAAATAGTGAGTAGCGAAATATGGAATAAATTTGGATTACCAAGGTAGCACTTTGTGACAGCTTCCAAATCCAAATCTGTCTTCAGTTGAGACATCAGATGTAAATGAAATAATCAGAAATAATGATATGTTTAGCAAATTCAGATTACTACTAAGAAATACACATTTCCTCTTATTTTGCAGGCAAAATGGATCTGACTCGCAGTTTACCATTATTCTTGATCGACGATTAGATACATGGTCTTCTGTCAAAATATCTCTCCAGAAAATCTCAGTAAGTAACAATGCATTTTTAAGTAGCTTCTTACTTTTGTTTTACATTATACTTTCTGTTTGTGGGGGTATAGATTATTTTGATAGTGATGGAGACAAAAAATTCCTGATGGAGATAATAAAATAGATGGGATGGTAAAGTGGGAAAGTAAGAAGAGTTGGTACTGGAGATTGAGCTGAACAACTCCACCCAAAATAAAACCTAATGTGAAAGAATGAGTAGTTAATGGTTCAAGTTATGAGTGAGAAGAGACTTATGCTTCCCTATGACTTTCAGAGCTAGGCAAGTTTTTATGGGAACTATTAAAAAAATGAAAATAGCCCTGGCTGGTGTGGCTCAGTGGATTGAGTGCCGGCCTGTGAACCAAAGGGCCACTGGTTTGATTCCCAGTCAGGGCACATGCCTAGATTGCAGGCCAGGCCCCCAGTAGGGGCCACTTGAGAGGCAACCACACATTGATGTTTCCCTCTCTTTCTCCCTCCCTTCTTCTCTCTGAAAATAAAGATCTTTTTTTTTAAAAAAAGTAACAAGAAATGGTAATAGCTGTGTTGTATACTCACTGTAATATGAAAGAGTATAAAGAAGAAGGTTTAAAACAGTAGTCAATAAGACAAATGTATTCAAAAAAATAAATAAATTAAAAAAACAGTAGTCAATAATCCAACAATCCAGAAATAAGCACTTTGTTAAAAAATCTATTTATTTCTCTCTCTTTTTCAATTGTTCAAATACATTTGTCTCCATGTACCCGCCACCACTTTCCCCTGCCCCACCCACCCCCACCTTCGCCCCCTCAATCCTTCCCCAACTTGTCCTTCTCCATGTGTCCTTCACACCTGTTCCTTGATCTGACCCTTCCCCTTCCCGCTACCCTTCTCCCTTTCTCCCTTCCATCCCTGTTGGTTTCTTCTTTCTTTCAGTGTTGATGGTCATATTTTCCTTGCCTGCTTGCTTTGCTGATTCTTAGCAAGTGTATCTTTCCAGACTCTGCCCCCGCCATGAAGTGAGTCACCTGCAAAATGCTGTATCTCTCCTATTGGAGTCTAGTCCCCAGCTTCCCAAGATCAAGATAGAGAAAACAGTTTTCCTAAAGAAAATATTATGAGAGATACAATCTTGCCCACAGGAAAGATGATCTCTTACATTAGGCTCACCTGGATATAGTGGCCTTGTCTGACACTTCTCTTTCTTAGAAGAGGAGGGAGATGAGGAACCCATAGACTCCTTTTGAGCTGGCAAGTGGAGCTGTCTGTGGAAGTACCATGTTGTCAACTTCCTCTGTCAGTTCAGAGTAGCTGGGAATCAATATAGTTTTTTCTCCAAGAGTCCAACATTATCAACCATCTGAAATTTTTACTTTGTCTCCTAACACAGGAGGCTGCAACCAGCAGAGGAAGTTGATTTACATGTGAAGGCAAGACAAAAATCTAGGTTGTTGGACTTCTCAGCCTGGGTTCTTTCCACTATACTAAGTTGCTAACAGGTGTAAAAAATACAGTTGACACTTGAACAACATTGCTTTAAACTATGTGGGTCTAATTATACACAGATTGTTTTCAATAAATACTGTAAATGTATTTTCTCCTCCTTATGCTTAAAATTTTATTTTCCCTAGCTTACTTTATTATAAGAATATAGTATATAATGCATATAATATGCAAAATATGTGTTAACCTACTGTTTATATTATTAGTAAGACTACCAGTCAACATTATACTATTAGTAGTTAAGTTTTGGGGAGTCAAAAGGTATATGCAAGTTTTTGACTATGTGGGTGGTTGAGACCCTAATCTTGCATTAAGGATCAACTGTACACTGGAAGTCACATGGTAAAATGAATGAGATCATTATTCTTTTCACACACACTATGAATTATTCCTCATGTTAGGCAAGTCAGCAAATTGTTTGTTTTGTTTGTGTCTTTCTTTAACAGAGGTGTTTAGTTAAACAGTGGAGAGAAGAGTTAACACCAGATGGACACAAGTTACTAAAATAAAATAACAAAGCCTTGAGTTTGTGTAATATCTTTTTGCCTTTATAAAAGCAGTCACATTTATTAAGTAATATTGATTCTCTATTTCTTGATTAAGTACTCCAGGCAGGTGTCATTATTATTCACTTATGGATGAGGAAATTATGTTGGCACACACTTAGGAAAGGTTATGTGAGGTCAAATAACTAAGTAATAAAAAGAGCCAGAGCAAGAATTGAATTTTCATGAATTTGCAGTTGGTACCCTTTCTACCTGCTTCTTTCTATCATTTTCCAAATCAATTGTGTTTAGACAAATAAATTCAGTGTTCTTTAGAAAAAGGTAAAATTCCTTTGGAGAGAGTAAATGCCCTCCATATAGTGTTGGGCCCTATCGGTGGTGATAATGAAGTAAAAGCTACTTACCTTCCGTTGGCTTTTTAGGATTGGTCCTTAGGTCTGTTGAGCAGACTTCAGGTTGTGACACTGATCAATTATTTTATACTAAATGTAACACTTGTTATAATAAAACATTTTAAAAAAGATTTTCCTTATTTTTACAGAGGGAAGGAAGAGAAAAAAAGAGGGAGAGAAATATCAATGCGTGGTTGCCTCCCGTGCGCCCCCTACTGGGGACCTGGCCTGCAACCCAAACATGTGCCCTGACTGGGAATTGAACTGGCGACACTTTGATTCACAGGCTGGCACTCAATCTACTGAGCCACACCAACCAGGGCTATAATAAAACTTTTAAAATTACCTAGCCTAACTTTTTTCTTTTGGTTATAACTACTTGCTTGATTAAATTAATTTTATTGAGTGACTATTTGACACATGGCATCAGTTTTTTGGTGGTTTTATTTTTTATTGATCAAATAGGTTGCTTGGAATAGAAGTCTTGTTTTTCCTGAAACCGAAATATAAGATTCAGTCATGATCCTGTTGACTTGGGGTCAACAGAGGAACACTGACTTAATATTTGGGAGGTAATTCTGCCTTATTTTCCTAGGAATGCTCTGTTGCTGAGACAGAATGAATCATGTTCAGCAAAGAGCTGGGCACTCAGCTTCCCTTTAGTCTCATAAGTATCGAATTGATGGCACTAGGAAGCAGTGGGGGTACAGGTGATAGCAACATGTAACTAGCTATAGATTAAGTGTTTCTTTTTAACATTTTAAATGTTTCTGCTTGTGGTAGTTTCTGTTACTAAAATCAAGAGCACATTAATTGTATCTCAACCATTCAGCACTGTTTGTAATAAAGGTAAATACTGAATACAAGCCAACCTCTAGAGCAAATATTGGCATTCAGAAAGGATTTCTGGTGAAAATTTCCATTCCATTGATAGGTGTAACTGTCTTTGGTATATTATTTTAAATGAGTATCTATAGAATATTTTTATAATTCAATTTGAAGACCTTAATTTATAGATTCCAAGATAAACTATGCAGTTAGATTTTACTTCATAATTCATGATAGGAGACAAGATTAGTTATACATTTTGGGGAACTATTAATTTGGGAGAGAATCCTATCCATCTTAGACAGGTTACGTGTTTTGTTCTTTCTAGATTATCATCAGGAAAAACTTTCACAAACTGTCAACTTTCACAAGGCTTAAACACAGAATAGGATTTAGTTAAAAAAATGAAATTGAATTTTAGGTTATAGACCAGGGTAAGACAGGGATGAAGATATCAGTTAATACTACCTTCACAAAGATTCTTACCATTCCACCTTAAAAATCAAACTGCGCAGAGGAGAAAGCCAGTCCCATCAAGCCCCTAGGAGGAGAGTTGGGTTTTTTTCCCCCTTTTTTCACTCTTAGGACATGCCTGATCGTCTTGAGCAGTCCAGCACAAGCTAATCCATGAGGTTCAATCAGGCTAAGTAATTGGGGAATGTGTCAACTCTGAATTACAATGAGCAGCAGGGAAGGATTTGTCAGCTGACTAATCAGGGATAGTGGTTTTCTTACAGTGCTGCCACAGTGGTAGGGGAAGCAGCTACAGCTACGGTAGCTTTGTTTGGTAGAGATTTTTGGCTGCCGCTTTTCAATACTACCTCAGAAGCAGCTCATATTCCATCAATGTTGCACTGACAATTGGAAAAGAAGAGTGTTATTGTGTGTAAGCGAGATGGCAGAAGCAACTCCCCCGAGAGGCAAGATGAGGTTCAGAAGGAATGCGGTAAGGGCTCTGCCTGCAGTCCTGGAAAGCCTGCTTCCAAGTTCAAGTGCAGGGATGCTGCAGCATGGTGCTATAGCACAAACTGCTGAATGGGGCTTTTAAGGACAGATGGAGAGAATGGAGACTTGTATTTGCATGGATTGCATTGATGTGATTACTGTGATGGTGCCGTAGGGAAACGTAGAATGTAATTTCAAAATCTAAATGTAATCAAGTTTTTACGAGGAAGTGCTGTTAGTCACTTAAGTCTATATGGACAATTTCGAATCACTTGGCAGAGTAGCTTTAAATCACTGGTTAAAATAACAACTAACGAGAGGATTCGTTCTTTCTTTCACCATGGTCAAGTACAGTGTGATATCATGGATAAGGTCTGGAGACAACTTCATCAGCATTTAAAAAGGAAGCCCTTCCTGGGTGTTACTGTACAAGTGAAAACATTTTAAAGTCTAATGAAAGGAAGTCTTTCTGATTTTAATTCGTCTTCGAGTTAAAGCTTTAAAGATACAGAATTTCAGCCTGTTGACAACTTTTTTTTTTTAAAAGGAAAAACCAATGACTCACTTTTCATTATAGGCTAGAATTTAGAAATCTCTCCTTGCAAATATGTTTCCAACATTTTTCTACCTAAACTTTTCCCTTCATTAGCTCACTTGTATACTAAATTCCAAGCAAATTTATAAAGTGATTTATATTTTGGGTAAATATGAAGTCATACTAGCTAATTTAACAACTGGTTATCAACAGGAATTTAAACGCCACTTTTTCTTTCAGAACTTGAGATAACATTATGTATGTTATGATTTAAAACATAATACTTGATAATTAAAAATATTTGATC